AAACATTTGAGTGGCGAAACTAAACATCTCAAACAAGTATTTAATTTGTAAGAATAAGTATAGAAAACTTCTTGGGAATTGAGTGTCTGAGAGAAACACTCGAGTGGTAAAACTTGACGCCAGGATAAATAAACATTTATAAGTTGTAAACATAGATACCTTAAACTAGTATTTGTACGTGACAAGGGAAGTATAGCGTGTGAAAAATAAACATTTGAAAAGATACTAAAATACCAACTAGTTGGCTTGAAGAGATGACGCAGGTGCACATGGGTGATTGAACCTCTATAAAAATCAAGATTGTTTTGATTTACAAATCTTTAATTAATATTTTCTTATGTGATTAACTTGTTTTATCTCTTAAATTTACTATTCTACTGCTTATAGTTTGTTAAAAGCTTTTAATATTGATTCATCTAATCATAAATTTAGAGGCGCATAAAGTAAGAGCTTGAGTATCACTCAAATTTATTTTTCTTATAGTTTATTACTTATTGGGTTGCTTTAATTGTCTATATATATTATAATAATTTTTATTTTAAGTTAAAATTAGTTAAAGTTTCTTAAAATCCAATCCATCATCCCCTCTTGGGTTGTCGTACATATATTTGAACCAACATACTTGAACCTCGAATCCCTTAAGATTCCTATGTGCATCTTTTGTCAAGAAGGCTCATAAGTCTTATTTATATATGTATTCTTTATAAGTGCATAGCATGAATGAAAATGTACAACTCATTGTCAATGTAGAAATTCATAGATTAGTTTTACTAATCTCTTTTATAATATCTAGTCCGAAAGAACACTAAGTAATCATGTTCTTGTAATTTCTAAATTTATGTCTCGCAATAGGAGTCCCATCAGTCTTTGTCATTTAGAATCTTCCTCTATCTTGTTTCCTAGGACTTTATTTTGGCCTAGTCCTAAATCTACTTATAACAGTTCCTTTATGCTAACTAAGTATAATTTCTTGTTTTATCTTTTCTATCTAGGATTTTTGTTTCCAAAGACTAATTTTTGTATTTATCAAGTTCTAAATGGTTCCTAATTCTAACATTTGTTTTCTTCTAGGTCATTTCCTAGATAATTTTTAATCCTAATATTTGTTTTCCTAAATTCTCTACTAGCAATATAGAAAAGAGATATATAGTAAAACTAATTTTAATAACAAAATTCATTATTAAAAGTAAACATATGCAAATGGTAACCATTGATATAGGGTGGAGCACTGACTGTTATTTTATATTTTTTACTAATAAAAATGTATGTTAGTTAAGCTTACCCTTTACAAACAGGAACCATTTGTATAGGATGAGCTTTATTTCCGAACTCTAATTTTGTTAATAAAGGTCGTTTTACATAAAGGGTCAATTTAACTATCACTTACAACATAATCCCTTTTACAAAGCCATTCTCAAAATCTATTAAGATAAATCCAAACTCATTAAATTTTTTAAACAAGACTAACCTTGATAACTTTCAAAATTTCCTCTTAAATTTTTATCTTCTCCACATAAAATCCTTCGACTTTTCATCATTAACACAACATTCAAATCATCATCATCAGCACATGCCTTAGGGTTTATGTTTCCTTTCAATTTTTCAACTAGATATCTTCTCTCATGTCTCTTCTTCATCACACAATTATTGTCACTATTATCATTAATGATCCTTTAGCTTGATAAATGCCTTAAGACTCCATAAATTTCAGCCTTTTTCATCACGATTCTCCAGCCCATTCCACTCTCTCATTTGTGAAGGCTTCAGCCTTGGCTCATTATAGCAAGAGTTCTTATTTGAAGTCCATTTCCTTCTCTTATTTTCATATATTAAAGGTACAGTTGTCATGCTTTAGTTTTTTTTTACCGTATTGTATAAGAACTATTTTTTAAAAAAAAAAGTAGGGTGTTAAATGATTGTAAACAATCTCATTAAAATAATAAAATTTTATTATTTGTATAACCCAAAATATATTTGCTATGA